TAGATTAAACTCATGTCAAACTGCATTCTCTGCCTTGCTCCTCTCCACGTTGACAGCAGATGGCTGCAGGGTAACATGTCAGCAGGCCACTCACTGCTATGCATGAAAATGCAACTATCTGCAAAAGGCAGAGAATGGAACACAGTGCAGTGACTTGCAGCCAGGAAAGCATTATCGAGCAGAAAAGCATCATGGGGCGAAAATGACGTGGTTGAATTTTAAATTCAAATGATGTGCTGTGAAGGCCATTACATCTCAACTGCGTGGTTACACCATTAGAATAAGTTCTTATAAATATATTACTCTCCTGCAGGAGGCTTAGCCTATTTGATGTTTGTTTCTATATTTGGTATGTTATAATTTCCATGCAGAGCAAGAGAGGCTGTTCTTATCACGCAGCAGTCTGTGCAAATCAGCAACAAGGCAATCTGCCTCGCATTCAGACAGGCCATGTCATATTTTCCACAGAGAGAAGTGGCGGGCAAGGCACTTGGTTCACAGATATAGGACTATCAGGCCATCTGCCGCGCCATCACACACATTCACTCTTTTATGTGATGCTTGATAATCAAGCCATCTAATGTTTCCACTTACTTTATGCTACTTCTCATCTCCACATGCCTGCGTCCCTGCCATTATATAGTACTACCCATGATGCTGCTGTCTATCCTCTTACATACCATTAATTATGTTCAGGGGTTGACAAGGATCACAGAGATGGCAGAAAAGAGCATCAAAACCACTCTGTACACACTTATCACACGGAGGCATATTGATGTAAAAGATTTTAAAAGCAAGTAAAGTGAGCCTACTGAAATACTGGAAGTGTGTCTGTGTGTGTGTGGTGGAGGGGCTCTGAAAGCTTTTACTCTGAATCTATGGAAAGACATGATTTTAAATCTGTGAGGGGGAGAGAAAGAGAGAGAAAGAATGCAATAGGATTGTTACCATATGCAGAGAGAAAAGGGTGCAGAATTAGGAGATTAAAGTAGCTGCAGGATTAGACCCCAGGTTTTAATGATGGAAATGGAAAAGCTGTGAACAGAGTCTGACACATTCTCTCTGGCCCGCCTCTCCTCTTCACTGCCTCTCTCCAGAGCATGTGTCTCGTGCTGATTGTGTGGAAGCCCCCCGGGGAGAGCCAGCTCTGCACGCCATTAAATAGCACACATTTGTTTAAAGAACATTTATGTGCAAGTGCATGCTTCTTGAAGCAACACAGTTGCTCTGGTTGACAGATAATGTGGGGACTGGATTGTACATTTTGCATGTGCATGTTACCTTTTCATAGCTTTTGGGGCCATGCACACTCACTCAAACATTTCACCATTGCATAAACAGGCATAACTCAAACATTGTAAATGACTTAGGAAATAGTTTGGTTAAAGCACATACATGATTTACAATAATCAGATCAACAGATCAACATCTGGAAGGATGTGTACTCGCTTACTGGAAACATCTTATTAATATCACAAAAATAAGCAACAAAAAACGTTGGGCCTCTGTTGCTCTGTTGATGCTTCGTTTTCATTTTTATGAATTTACAGAGCAACATAACATGACTTATGTGGCTCGCTAGCTGTAAATTAAACGTTGTTTAGCTGTCAGCCAAATAATTTCCCCACCAACTGTAGCCATGCTTTTTTTTTTTTTTTCATTAAAGAACGTTATTCACTGCATTACCTTTGAGGAGCATCCAGAAAATCTAATCACACATTCTGATGTAATTTAGGTGTGTGAATCAGGGTAGAGTTTCTTACTTGGATTTACACTGAATAAAGTTTTTCATAATAGTTGCAGTAACTGGAGTATTGAATAAATTGATTGTGGTAAAATTATTAATGCATGTAAATGTACGTTTTGATCATTTGACAGTTTACTAGTGAACACAAAGAATAACTGAAACAAAGAAGTTGATTAGGCTCACAACAAACCACTTATAAAGAGAAAAGTGCAGGCTGATACACTTTTATACCAGTGTGAACCTGCAAGTAGGTTAGACAGCTTGACTGCCAGCTCTGCATTCCCATTTTAGCCGTAATAATGAGGCCTCAGTTCTCTTATCTCCCCTAAAGCCACATTTCATTAGCACATGCGTATTGCTCGCACACAGAGTTTATCTTTAAGTGTGAAACTCCTCCTGACTGCTGAAAAACTAAAATATCCCAAGACCCTCACTGCACTGTACTTTACAAGGATCACTTTCAGCTGAGCTTCAATTGTCAGGAGGGCCCGACTGTACTGAAGATAACTCATGCCACGCAGAAATGAGATGCTAATGTATTGCTGGCCATTCGAAATAAATCTGCAAGGTGCTCTTTCATGCAAATGCAAGGCGCCTCGTGGGTCAGCAAAAAGGCAAAAATGGACACATTTGATGAGAGAAGATGGAAGATGTGCCAGGATGTTTGTGGCAAGTTTTCCTCTGATATCCTGTCCTTGCTGGAGGCTACTGTGATCAATAGGGCCCTATCTGAAAACAAAAGAGGCAAAACCTGAAGTATCTCTCTCTCTTAGTCAGAATATTTAATCAGAAGCAATTTTAATGAGTGACACACGATTCTTGTCTTGGATTGTTGACGAGTCTTGGACTTGGATCTGGCAGTATCGTTACAAAATTACAGGAGAAGGGCTTAATTTAGTTTTTATCCAATATGCCCTAGGTGTCGAGTGAAAACTATAGGAAGTGACTTTAAACCCAGACCCCATGGTTAGCTCTACGTCTGTGATGATCACCACAGCTACAATTCGTAGGTTTGATCTCTTGCTTAAATATTCAGTCAAAGAATGTTTTTCTGTCAGTCCTGTTCCCACTAGACTGCTTTACCTCTTCATTTCAAAGGATAAGTATTCCCTTTGTTGAAGGGCTGAGTCTATCAACTTCAGAGATCAAATCCTCATAGTGCATCCATAATATCTCCAAAGGCCATCTTCAGAGGGTTATACTGAAAAAAGACAAAGGGTGAAAGAGAATTGAGAAGCGAGCAAATTCCTATGGAGAGGCCCGAATGCAAATCAAGGACTTTGGTTTTGGATAAGGATATCTGTTTTGTCTGACAGGACTCCAACACAGCAGACTGTGCAGCTTCTGCCACAGTAAACAGGAATTTTAGATCGGGAGGACTTGCTGTTTCAATCTTCTGCATGCATCCTGACTCAGGCGCGCTCTGATGACACTCCTCCGAGCCCAGGAGCCTGGCCAGCACGCTGTCGCTGTCCAAGCCAACGCTGAAAGATGAGAAATAGAAGAAAATAAGCTGATGAGGCAATACTCTCTAATGAGCTGCAAAGTAGGATCTTTTCTATGGATTTCTCAGTAATCGGCAGCCAGTTGGCGACAGCCCAGTGTGAAAGGTTTCAGCAAAGACTGACTGGATGGTATAAATTGTCGCCATCGTGTAGCTCGTGAGAGGAATCGCCTGCTGTTTGGAGGCTCTTAAGGGCTGTGACAGGACCTAATCTGTTGTTAATCCTCTACTCAGAGCAAGATGATCTCTCTATTACTCCTTTGTCTGATGTTTAACGAGATAAAAAACTCCCTCTCATCCAATACTTAGTGTCTTAACCTCAATATTAACCTGGGGCAAAGCAGAGCTGATCAGGTTCGAGGCATGCTGTTGATATGAAGCTCTGGGACAAGACAACATCATTAGGACTTGTAACCAGAGAGGCTGTGGACGGCTACCATGCTCATTATGGCCAAAGGCAGAGCAGCAGGTTGGACATGGGTTCTGATTAGGTCAAAATGAGAGCGACAGAGAAAATAAAATGATCAAAACAGACAAAATGAGAGCGACAGAGAAAGTAAAATGATCAAAACAGACAAAATGAGACAACAAAAACATTTTCAAGGCTGCAATCAATAATTCAGTACTCTGTTTATCTATGAATGTGGTTGGGGGTCTGTGTAATATAAGTTGCTTTCTGGAAACTTAATATGAAGCCAAAATGACACATGGATGTTTTTGTAGATCACAAGAAAACAGAAATGTGATGTTCTCTTGCATCAGTTATTATTTCTAGTGGAAGCAGGATGCTCATCATCAAAAGAGTTCATAAATTCAGAACTCCTTTGTATAGCATCTTGATTTGTCGCAAAATGTTGATGTTCAAACTGAAGTAATTAGGATTGAGTCACTGTAACATGTAACTTTTGAGGATATGGCGAATGCAGCACTAAACACCCCAAAAGGCACAGTTTTTACATGTCGATTCTTCTCTGCAAGTATGTATATGATGAAGTGTTGGGAGAGTATGTAGAGAAACTATTGAAAATACTAATTGAATTTAGTTTCTTGATGAGAGTTGGATGAAAAGATCGATAGAACTATCTTGTCTATCCATTTAGTAACCTATGGTGCTAGAGCCTAAAGACAATTAGCTTATCCTAGCATAAAGGCTGAAAGCAGGGGGAATAGCTAGTTTGGCTCTTTCCAAAGATCCAAAATACACCTACCAGCACTTTCAAAGCTCACTAATTAACACATTACATCATGATTCACTTTCAATGACAACTTGTGGTTTTTGATGGAGCTATGACTCCTTCGGAAACCACAAACTGCTGTTTTTACATTGGGTTGTGTATGGGTTAAACAAAGCCTAGATATAGCATGTTACAAGTGGGCTTTAGAGGTGCTGGTAGGCAGGTTTTGTTGCTTTTGGATCCAGCCAGGCTAGTTGTTTCCTCCTCTTTCTTATTTTTATGCTAAGCTAAGCTAACCGCCTGTGTCTGTGTCTGGCTCTGTCCTTAACACACAGACGTGGGGGTGGTGACGACCTTCACATGTAACTCAATATAAGAAAACAAGTAAGAGTATTTTCCCAAAATGTCAAACTACTGCTTCAAGTCGGTTGACAATTAGTGAACAAGGTGACTGAAAAGATACATTACAAGTAATTTTTAATTTTATTGTGACTTATCCCATTATATTAACATTTTATTCCAAGCAGATAGAGAAACAAATGGCACTGTGCGTTGATTCATGTAGTTATTATTGTCATTATTATTCCACATTCTGCCCGTCTGTAATTACCCACTTCACTTCTCGGTACATTTTTTTTTCCATTGCTAGCTTGAAGATAATGTAATCACAAAATGAACCAAACTGCAGAGCTTTTGAATCGCAGGCGCAGAGGATAAGAAAGGCTTTGAAGTGATACGGTTAATATTGATGAGGTGAGATATTTTAGATTAGCACCAGAGATTTCACTTCTGTCTTTTATTTTGCATCAGCAAGGTCAAATGCCTATTTCACACTTAGCTTACATTTCCCAGTAGCTTGATCAGTAGATACAGTACAGAGAGCAGGGCAGAAATCTCTAATTAACGTCATTTCATATATTGTCCACCACTGAAAATAATATCTCCAAATAGCTGTGTGGAACAAAGCATCTCACAAACAATCTCTATAGGAATGTTTTTTTCTATGAGGGGACAATACAAATCTCCGTGGTTTAATGGTGTGATTGCTGGACGAGCTCAGCCTAAGCACTACACTTAAACAATTTAGTTCTGTTGACATGCAGAAGCTACGATATTAGAGGTTTAAGTAAACTTGCTGACAATCTTCCCTAGCTCACAACATGTTCTCGCCATTGTTATAAAATCCTTGTTTTTTCAACATCGTGCTGCAGCAGCGTGCTCTATGCGTTGTACTTCTTGAGCAAGTCACTTTGCCAGTGCCTCTTGCGATCTGGAAATACTCTGGGCAAGCGAATCTTTTTGAAGTCCTCAATGCATTTCTTCAGATCCTCCTCCAGCATCTTTCTCTCCTCCTCATCCTCATCCACCCCCGGCGGGGGGCCACCGTTCTCCCTGACAGTGGGCCGTGGCAGTGTCTTTAGGTGGAGGGTGGACGGACGCTGGGGGCTTTCAGCCCGAGGCGGTGTTGGGGGAAGAGGAGGACTGGAGGTAGAAGAAGGTTTGGATGATGGCAGTCGTGGAGGCAGGGCTGGAGGGGGTAATGGTGGGAGGTCTGGGCTGTCTGCAGCAGGAGGAGGTGGAGGAGGTGTTGGAGGAGGAGGAGAGTCCAGGGGCAGCGGGTTTTGTATGTCCAGTGTTGCAGTGCTGCTGGTTTCTGGAAGGCTTTGAGTTCGGCCAGTGCTGCTTAACTCCACCGTGGCTGATTCAGTATGAGCAGTAGCAGGTTCAGAGGTCTCCACTTCAGTGATAGCTGGGGGTTCAGAGCTCGTTAACTTGGAAATCACTGATGAACCACCTGCAGCAAAAAGAAAAAATTATAAATTAAAGTTTTTGAAATTTGAAAGATTTTATGCTAAGTTACGCTTAAAGAGTAGTTCATAATTTTGGGAAATATGTTTATTCTTTTTCTTGCTGAGATTAAAATGGGAAGATCAATAGCCTACCGTACTCATGCCTGTACTGTAAATTTGAAGCTATAGCCAGCCGGCGGTTAGCTTAGTTTAGCATAAAAAAGGAGGGAAAAACCGCTAGCAGTCTTGTCAACAGTGTGAAGTTATCAAGAAACAGTAGAGACACTTCACAGATGTGCTGGGCAGAAGGTTAAATTGTGTATTAAGATATAACTTAGTAATTAGTGAGCTTTAGAGGCTTTGGTATTTTTTTTGGACAGTCAGGCTAGCCTTCGCAGGCAATGCTAAGCTAATCACCTCCTGCCTTCAGCTACATATTTACTGCTAGAGTTAGAGTGATATCAATGTTCTTATCTATCTCCAAGCAAGAAAGCTAAAGTGTGTTATCCAAAATGTCGGACCATTCCTTTAAAGGTATACATTTAGGAGGTAAAGTGAAAAGTGGTTGAGACATTTAAGAGATGACAGCCAGTTGCTTATTTTACCACAAAGACTGCAAACAGGGGGAAACAGCAAGTCTGACTCTGATAAGGGCATCAAAATCTGCCAACCAGTGCACCAATTACCACACAATCTTCTTTGTTTGATTCGTACAAAAACTGAAGGACAGAGCCAGGCTAGCCTTTACCTCGTTTCTAGATTTGTGCTAAGCTAAGGTAACTGACTGCTTTATATTTACTGTACAAATATAAGAGTGGTACCAATCTTCTCATCACACTCAGCCAATAAATGTATTTCCCAAAAATGTCAAACTATTACTTTTTTTTTTAAGTGAACAGATAAATAGAATATTCATACTCAGGCGTCTGGTCTGTTTGAATGAAAGTCTTGGCTTGCCTTATCGAAGTGTGTCAGTATTGTGTGGCTGGCACAGAAACAAGCACCTCAGCTTTGAGCTTTACAGTTTTTGTCTCCAAGAGTATAAAAGTACACACATGCTGGCACAAAAGTGTGTAAGAGCATTATGGAAACAGAAATTAGCAGAGAAAGGAGCTCAGCAGGAGAGGAAAAGGAAATGAGAGATAAGGAGAGTGGAGGAGAGTTTCATTTCATTTCAGAACTTCCCTTTTACCTTTGCTTGCACATTTTCCTATAAGGAGAACTGTGACTGAACGGATGGTGTGAAACCTCCTGACTGAAGCTTGACAAAACATTTTTCACGGTATGTTGATTTTTCATCTCATCTCTGTGTGAGGACAGGGTAGTTGCTGTGGTGCGACTTCTCAGAATAGCTGGAGTGGCACGTGCACATTCCGTACCTCTTGGTATTCAACCATTTTGAATGGTCTCTACTGTACAGTCTATTCTCTAGAAACCGGCGAGCAGGTTTCCTTTGATTTTCACTGTCTACATGATGGTACACAGACTCAGACTGGCTAGCCAAGTCACAGCAAGCCCATGTCCACATTAAAGTGGATACATTTCAAAGTGCATCATTCTTCTTTTGGCCTACCATTTCGCACTAATCCTGATTTTTCAACCACAGACAACACCACACTCTGGGCAAAATCTGTTTGTGTTGATGGGTCGATTGGGAAAACACAGCCAGAGCCTAAGTTTAACATATGATTGTTATGCATTTTCAGGCCCTCTTTTCATGTGATAAACAATAAACAGCATTTCAAAATGCCTCTGGAGGCAATAGTGCAAAGCTGATTGGCTGCAAATGCCCGAACAGAAGAGCTCTGAGCCTTTTCTTGTTGTTGTTGTATTTCAGTGTGGAAAACAATCACAAAATACTCTGTGGACAGAAAAAAACTTGTTAATGTATTCACAAGTTTGGACATGGCCTTAGACCGAGTTAAATGGTAATGACAGTCCTGCATGCATACTGCTTATGCACAGCATCATCCAGTAGAGTCACAGTCACACTGTTTTATGTCACTCACATGCTCACTCTCACTGTGAAGCAGCCACATAAAGTAGTACATGCTGCTACAGTATAATAAAATGCAAATGAACAGTTTCTGATACGTTCTCATGCAGAGATATGCAGGTAAATTATGCCACAGCTGTAGTCACACACAACCCAAACACACACACACACACACACACACACATACAGACATACAAAGACACACAAGGCCCTGTACTCTTTCCTTTAACAGGGCTCATCGTCACGGTAACCCGTCTTATATAACAGGAAAAGCTGCTTGTGTCAAACGGAGGCGGCACAGAATATTCTCCCACTGCTTTGGCTTTCTGAATACCTGAATACAAGTGTGTGTGTGTGTGTGTGTGTGTGTGTGAATTTGTGACATAAATTACACAAGCCTGTGTGTGAGAGAAAGTGAGTGCTGTCTTGTGTGTTTGTGCATGCATGTGTAAGAACGTGTGTGCGTACTGTATGAGTAGGTGTGGGTGTTTGCATGTGTGTGTGTGTGTATGTTGGAAGATGTGTCATATTCTGGACATGTACTGGCAACTGAAACGACATATAAAGACAGCGAAAAATAAAGAAGATATAGGGGAAGGAGGTGTTGGCAGAAACGTTGTTTGTGTTTGTGTGTTCTGTCCATTTAATTTCTTTCATAATGAATACATGTGTTTGAGGGCTGCCTGGACGTGGGCGTATTGGGGCTTAGCAGTGTCTGCGGAATAATCCACTGGGGGATGGGCTCCATGCTTTCCTCCACCACTAAGCCTTATGGAGGAGAACAGCAAAAGAGAGCACTCAACCCTTTTCCCCGGGCCACTTCTCCAGGGATATATGCAAAAGCCAGAGCACTTTCTCACACATCCTCTCCTCTCTCACTGCCCCTCTCTCTCACTCTCTCCAATCTGTTCAGTGTGACACATCCCTCCGTTGCCATCATTACTGCTATTAGCAACTCTAATGTGTCACTGTTGCCAGGGTTTAGCACCTCTCTGGCACAAAATGTCTTCTCCACGGTGTGTAATGTTGTTTTTTTCACCCCACCTGAATCTTTATATTTTACTCAAATTGTAGCACACTGTGTATTATTTTACAGACTAAATAAAGACATTAAAGGATGTTTTTGATGGAACTGGTAGTCAAACACAAACTGACCTCCAGAGGAGGAGAACTTTGGATACGTTTGTCTCTTCCCTGGCACATAGTGGACATCTAAAATGAAATTGTTAAAGATTTTTGTTAGAGATTTTTGTTAGAAAAATAAATAAATAGACACCCCATTATTTGTGGAATTTTCTGATAGTATTATCATCCAAACCTAATGTAAACATGCAGGACTGTGCTTTAGCTTGTGTACCTTTTTGTTCAAAATTGCAGTTATCAAAAAGATGGATTTTTGGTCAGACTACAGGTAATTTGATTGGTACAATATCTTTGTGGAAGGTCAGCACTCCCTATGTTACTCTGTGACTCCACACATTAGGTACTCTTTGTTGTGATTTGAATCATGTGGGAGTACTTGTGGATGTGAGTTTTGATAGACTGGTAATTTGCCACCACAATTGGACCCATGAAAGGGAAACTACTAATGCTAGCAACACATTATATCATGTCTGATTAATCCAACAAAAAATGATAGGGGTCTAAAAAAGTGTAAAGATAATTATTAAACACTTTACAGGGGGTGGCCAACCAGTAACTTCCTGCAGTCTCCCCAGGTTGTCTGACAAAGGCTACCATAGAGCCAGGCTAGCTGTTTCCAGTCATTGTGCTAAACTAAGTTAGTTGGCTGCTGGATCCAGGTCATCTCAAATGTTTAGTGCTGCAAAGTGGCCGATGTCTTAAATTGCTTAAAAAAGAATGAATGAAAGAAAAAAAAACGCTGTCTTGTATCAATGTTTGAAGGTGGATAGAGATTGTGCTTTGATGCTTTTTCCACGAGTGTGTCCAAAATGGTTTAGTCCTCTTTTGAAAACTAGCTGCAGTATCAGTGTAGTTTATACTTCCTAATGAAGTATAAGGAAATCAGTATTTCAGTTTGACTTTAATACAAAACAATGTGTGAATGAGGATGTTTAAAATTAATGTTTCATCTGCTTCTGAATTACCTTGAATATGACCAGGTCGATCAGCCTCTGGGTACTCTTTAAAATTCTTTGTTGCTGCTGACAGGTGTGACCAGAGGATGGGGAGACTGACAAACAAGAGGACAGCATCATCTCCATGGTAACGCCACATGTTGTGCAAGAAACAAAGCTTCACAAATGCATAGTAATGTCTCTCAGACTGAGAGAAGCTGTTTATCCAGAGTGTGAAGTTGTACATATGGCTCTATCCTGCCATTCTAAAGGGAACTCACGCTACATAGTTTTGGCAATTACAGCATGTTTTATATCTAATTACCTAGTACTCAGCACAGATATTCAACATCTGCTTTGTGAAATGATGGGCATGGCGCCTAATGACAGAGTGGGTCTCACCACCCACAGTCTTCTTATTCATTGTCTGTCCTCTTTGATTGTTGTCATACATGGGGGCATGATCTGACATGGTAATACTATACTCTTTCAACTAACTTTACATCCCCAGGCATAAGCATAGAAGGCTGGATACGAAATCACTGGAGTGTACTCACAAGTCTCTGAGCAATTACAAATCTGTCAATCAACATAATGCAGAGGAAATTTGTGACAAAAAAAAGCAAGAGACCAGGGGGCTGCTGCCAAGTAGGAAAAGCAAAAAAGGGAGCAGAGAGGGAGGTGATGGAATCTGTAAGCCTGTCTTCAATAACTAACCAGCAAATATGTGTTTTTAATTAATTTGGTTGTACCGTGGGTGGTATATGATTTTTATTTTTGCAGACTTGCAAATCTACATCTGATCCAAGTGCCCTGCTGATTCAACTGCTCCACGTGCCTCCTCTTTATCTTCCCCTGCTTTGAACACCCTGAGCTGCTGCCTGGCTAGCACAGCCCGTAACCAGCCTGCCTAAGCACCCTAAAGCCCATCCTGGCACCCCTCAGTCCCCGCAGAGCCTGCAGCCCCTCTGCCACCTGCTCCAGCCAGGGTCCAAACCCTTCCTTCCCCCCGGGACTGCAGCACTAAGGACATGCCTGACTTTTCACATTGCTGATAATTAGAGGGGCAGATTAGAGCCCAAGTCCAGATGGCTGAGGTGAATCTCATCCTAAAAACAACACTGACGGACACATTTACTAATCACTGCTTAAAGCAGGATACATTAGCTCTCACATTGTTTTCACTGAGTTGACGTACTATATATGTGTTGCAATACCATCATAATATATATATGGTCTCATAAATTATAAAATATGTGAAGTGGAATTTACAATAGAAAATAGCAACTGATAAACATCAGCTGTTAACAGATTATGAGGCATTGGGCACAGATACTATACATAAAATTTCCAAGGTTCAATTTATCTATCCATTAAAGCACACAGTGTTCCCATCCTAGTCAACCAGATTACCAAAACATAGGCAACATATATACACATTAAGTAAAACCAGAGAAAAACAACATATATTCCATGATAAAAACTGGGGTAAAATAACCCCCAACCTGTTGGTCTCCTGGGCCCGTGTGCAGAAAGCCCTTTAATCCATCCTTGGCATCAGCACATAATTTTAGTTGCAAAATGATTATCTTGTAGGCTCTTTGCAATGAAACAGTTTACATCTTTCAAATGCCAGCTGAGTCTAGCAGGGGAAGTTCAACTGTCTTCCGAGTGTTTCCTCTGTCAGTCTTCGCCACTGTTCCTACCTCACTTTGCCCAAACTGTAATTTGGCTCTTTTTCTCTCCTCGTACCCTCTTTACCTTTCAAGCTGCTCCTGCCCTGCTCCTTGCGCTCTTCTTCGCAGTCTCTATGGCACTGTATGTGAGGAACTTTGTCACTAGAGTTATCCCTTTGGTTGCATTCCTTTTTAATCCTACAACTTGCTTCTGACACTCTGATTGGCCCCCTTTAACTAATTTCATGCTCTGTCATTCCCATCCCACTTTTACTTTATATTTCCACACATCCCTCATGCTTTCCTCTGGCAGTTATTCTTTTGGTGTCTTGGTGCTTTAAAGAGAAAAGAAACGACTGTAAAGTTAAAGGGAATAATAAAGAGACAGCATGGAGAGAGGGATGAGAAGATTCAGTACTGCACATCACTAGGTTACCTAATCTGCTCTTTTCCAGCTGCTAGACATTCTCCCATGTTAACGTCCCTCTCTGTCTCCCCCGGGGGTATGACTACCCCCTGACCTTGCATGATGGAGTCCCCCATCATGTTCGGGGGCCAATATGTTTTGTGATAGCTGCTCTCTGTAGGAGATGTGTGTGAAGACAAGGAGGAAGAAGGACAGCGGAGCATATGTACCCATACTAGAGGATAGAGATGCAGTGGCAATGCACATGTGACTCAATGCTTAGCTCACTATAAAGATCCCAACACACAATGAGGTAAAGATTCCCCAAGCATGCGCCACTGTACTGTGTGCATGTGGACTTGCATGGCAGTGTGGGCGAACCGTGTTGTCGTCAAGGATACAGTAGGGATTAAACTCACGTACACATCATACATGTACAAATGAACAAAGGCATGCAAAAGCTCTCAGCTGCCATTCACACATAACTTGCACACACTCGCTTCACATACATACCGATGGAGAAAGCCTTGGTAGGCCTCAGGTTGCTGCATTTTCTCCCCAGTTCTCCACTATATCCACCTATTGGGCGACCCTAATCCGAGGTAGTTAGCAGCAATGATGGTTTTATCTGTTAGCAAAGGACATCTCCTGTTATTGCTGTCAAGAGAGGAAGGTGTACGTAAATGGCTTGTTTGCCTGCTAATGCATTTTTAACTGATCACACAGAAGAGTGAAAAGAAGGCAGCCAATCTCAGATCTAAAACCTCACCGCTCCAGGTCATTAGCCCTGCACAGGAGGGTTGTCACAAATCTTCTCCTAGCAACTTCCCTCTGTGAATGTCTGTGTTTGTGTGCGTTTAGAGATGCCAACTGCCTGCTCAGCATATTTGCGAGACAGGCAGTGCACTAGTTTGTTGCGCCTGCGTGGCTCCCATACCAACCCAGCGCTGACCCAGAGGCCCTAATACTCATCCGACCTGTCCTCCAAACGTCCACGTAAGCACAAACGCGAGAGGACAAAACCAAAACAGAGCCAAAATATGCTGGCATACAGATCCAAATGTAGACAAGGCATTGAGGATGAGAAGGCGTAAACAAGCGCAGAGCCACAGATGGTTGCAGCTGAAGGCACAGAATGAACAGAAACAGCAGATCTGGTAGTACACCCAGTCTAAGATGTTGAGAAAATGACTCATTGTAGAGCCCTGTGTTGTCACTCTAACACATGGTGTAAGTCTATTCATAAAAGAGGATGCAGTCTGGGAATATGTGCTGGTTGTAGTCAATTTAAAGGCACAGCTCATGATTCACATAAAGATGAGACAGTACATACAATTTTTATGTTGGAAAAATATTAATTTCCCTAATTTCTTTTGATGTAATGATTCTATGAATCATATTAATCCCAACCATAGTGAGTAATCCTGTGGATCTATATTTGTCTGGTGTATCTGAATCACTCTAACGGAGTGTTGACTGAGCAGACCGGCTGCAGAGAAACACATCACAGCATGGGCCAGTGAGGGCTTTGTTTGTCAGGACGATCCAGCACCTCTCTGAATAACAAGACACTTCATACTGGAGCTGCTCAGGAAAAGATATAAGACGGGAACACCAAATCCTTCCCATTTAAACACTCTCCCAGTGTGATCTGGCTTCTACCAGGTTATCTGTGTCCCCGCTTCATTGCCCCATTTTCCAATCCCTTTTTCCGTTGACTTACATCCGTTCCCGTTCTCCTCTGCTCCCTTCCTTTCTTTTTCCAAATATGGGAAGCGATGACCCAGCTGGCTTCAAGACAAGGGAATCATTCTAAATGAGGCAGACTGAGCCAAGGCGTGTTGCCATGTAGAGCCATCGCCTACAGTGACAGCACCGCAGGAACACGACCTGGGTCAAATCACTGCCTCAAGGTAGAGAGAGCAATCTTGTAGTCTTGGGGCATTTGTTTTTCCTTTGTACTTTCGTGGCAAGAGTCTAAAGATGAACTGCACAAGCTCGCTGAGAAACTGTATTCATTTCAAACCTTGTGGTAGGAACATAAGTATATGAATAAAATTAAATAAAGGGTTTAATAAAGTTCAGTGTGTGCTGTGTGCTGAGCAAATAATGCAATCTGTGATTTGGATTTTTCCAAAAGACAGAGAAGCAAAATTTCATGGTAAAATATCTTTATTGTAACGCTCTGAATAGGTGTACCACAACTACAACCTGCTTCTGGAAGACATGCTACACTTTTCAGCCACAATAAGTTCCCCAACAAAAAAGATAACAGCATATTTCACCACAGACCAGCCTGTGGACGTCGCCGCTGCTGCTGCTACTTAATCTCAGAGTGTCAACACTTCTCACACGTCTACTGTTGAATGTTGAGTCTCAAGGCGACTCATGGAGGTAAAGATTGAGAGCAGTTTAGGACACTGATGGCTGAAATTTCACACATGAGGCGCGTCTCTCCATGCTTGTGCTAATCACTGACCTTGGTGCTCCCGTGTTGCAGCAGTGTGCCAGCGGACAGTGACAAAGGAATGCTGTCTGTGACTGTGTTTGTTGGGGCTGAAGAGACACTGCAGGCACCGTTATTGTCTCTGAGGATTCGTCATGCATTCTACACCGCAACAAAAATCATCTGTTTTCCAGGAAGTCAGCCACACATTTTTGTTTAGATATATTTTTGAATATCAATGTTTTAATAACATATTTTGTGAAGCTCATCAGCTTTGCCTATCCACCTTTATCTAGGCCAGATTGAGATCAGCTTTAGAGGTAATTAACATGTGATAATCTTAAACAAAGTTTATATAACAACATGTGCCTGCCTCACCTACATAAACATACCCCTTGTGGTAGTTTAACTTTTCTGGCTGTGGGTGTGCTCAGTTAAAAATGCTGTTTTTATTGACAACACACACATCTCTTTCACAGTCCTGGATTTTTTTTGGCCCGATCTGTTTCAAGATTTTTTACTGTGAGTAGTAATTAGGTCAATTATTGGCAACAAAATGAGGATTTTTTAATCTGCCCCTGTTATCTATGCATGTCCTCATTTCTATCCCGGCTCTGTTTTCTGGTCAACTGCTGGATACAAAAATAAAAAGAGGGAAAAATATGGAGAAATAGTGTAAAAGCAGATGGAAGGATGAGGGGGATGGTGCCTGAGGGAATCAGAGTGTTAAACATTTAATATGAAGTAGAGTTTATGTCCAAGGATTTTAATGGGAAATGGTTGGATCAGAATTTGAATTGCTTTACTTGAGTTGCATTGTCAGTGAAAATTAAAAATTTTAACAGCAGTAACATGAGGGGATGTACCACTTTCCTCATAGTTTGTACCGAATGCCATTCAGTACTGAGAAACCATTTAGTTATGAATGGAAAATACAACCCAAATAGAAAGAAAACACCTTTTATTTGACAAATCACTTTGCTTTTTGCTGAACACTTTTAATTTCAGTGTTGTCCACGCTTGCAGCAACACACTGCAGCAAGTCTAACATATTGACTCAGATGTCAACAGCACTTCATCACACTGAAACACAACATTGCGGTTTGTAGACATTTCAGAATACATTTATTGTCACTGTCAATAAAAACTGACGCTCTGCCAAAACTACAACCGACACATTCTAACTCAGGAGAAATCCTCCAGTATACTGCCTCGGTGGCTGTTTCTCAGCTCAAAATCCATTTTATATGCAACCTCTTACTCGTCATTCTTATAACAGCATCTACATGTTCTAAATGAGTCTGCATTGTGACGTCGTCAGCTATATCTTTTGTTGGATTGAAGTGCCTTCAGCTTGTGTTTTAGTCTGAGGTATATGATGTGCAGACCTGTCCTGAGGCTATATCTGGAAACGCCTTTCTGGCAACAGCATAATCCTACCCTTTCTCATGGGTATTCACTTGCAGTGAGGGAGAGCTATCATCAAATACGCAACATCTTCAACTAATACTGAGTTGAGTATTAAGAATAACTGTATTGTTTACAGAACACTCAAAACGTGATCCGCTAAGTTGACTATCACTATTTTTTAGGGGACGTGTACTCATGGTGTAAGCCTGTTCCAAAAATAACGCTTCAATGTTAAAATGCTCTTAAATATGTAATTGAGCCAACAAATGTCAAAAAAGCACAATGAGCAAAAAAAATGGAGAAGTGGGCTGTGTGATGTAACACCTTGCATCTCCACTGCCCTCCCAGTGTGAGTGATTAAAATACTGAAAGCTCCATCGCACAATCAATACACACTTCATCTGGCAACCTTCTTGTCTTTCTGTCTGAGAGATCTCTTGATATTAGAGCTTTCATGTTTTTCAAAAATCAAAGCCTGTTGCTTGTTGATTTGCCACACGGCCAGCGTCTTTCTGAAAATTGAAACTCCACACACCTACAATCTAGTCTTCTGTTTCAAAATAAAAAAGTTCACGCTTTTTTTCTCCCCCTGTCCATGTGGCTGTATTATCACAGCCCTCATTCATTCATAACAACTGTACACATAAACTACTACAACATGGCACGTTCCCAACCACCTGGTTCTGAACACATTTAATAAAAACTGAAGGAAATTAGATTTTTTCTTGTGCTGGGGCTGCTCACGTCCCTCAAGGCTGATAAGATGTCCAATTATTTGGTAGTTTAGTTCAGAGGAGCAGGAGAGTCCGATCTGCTCGAGTAAGCAGGCCAAGTATAGCACTGTACATCACGGCCACTCTTTGAAGCCCTTTCCTTTATGCCCTTATGACTGGTTCAATAGTCATATAGACACACCGGGGCGCTTGATTAACAAAATTAGCGCTTGGATACAGTATTGTGCTTCACCAAGGCAGATGCAATATATATAGTACAAAAGGGAAATAGTACATAGAAGGTATCAGTCTCTGCAGGAAAGGCTGTGGGGTTGCTCTGGTGAAGGACTGGGGACTACAGCTAGATAGAGCGGCGGTTTAGGCAAGGGCAAAAGCTTTGCCTGAGGATGAGGGGGATGAATCTGGGGTTGGGGGGGGGGGGGGGGGGGGGGGGGGGCTGCAGATTCGACCTGCAGAGTCAGAGCAGCTGCTGGGTAATGTTCACAGGAGAAAAGCTGGAGGCTGCAGAGAGTGATGGAAGGGCACGACATCTACAGACATCTACTTGTGCAGGCGCCATCAGAGAGAGGACAGGATGACTGGAGGCTGGGGGGGGGGGGGGGGGGGGGCACTTGGAGGCAGGGGGGGGGACCAGGGGAACAAAGCCGGTAGTCTCACTCACGGTAGAACACATATTCAGTGTAGCTGGTCCAGATCTTGTCGTCCGTCTGCTCATGGGCAAAGGCGCAGGTTCCTGTGGAATTACAGGCCACCATGTGGAAGCCTGCATCAGCCAGCTTGTCAAAAGCCTGCTCCAGAAAGGTGAACTTGAGATAGTAGCGGGATGTGTAGCGCTCAGGGGGGCGGTCGGGGTCACGGCTCTCGTTCAGCGTCTCCCCAAACACCTCTTTGGCCAAAGAGGTCTTCCCACACACCATGATCCTTGCCACCCTGCGGAATTTAGCATCGGTGTGGCTATCACGGCCAAGGGTGTATGAGCCTCTGTAGCCGATAGTGATGAACCCGGAGCGTTTGCCATCCATGGCACCGGGCACCAGGCTGGCACAGGCAGCGGCAGCAGCACCCAGGGAGCTGAGATTACGGGCCGTGTCAAACCCAGGTGAGGAGTCCTCTGGGTCACTCTGACATCCCTCGTCGCCAAGTGAGTTCTGCTTGCTGATTTTGGGTGCTAGTAGTTTGACAAGCTCTGGGAGGTTGAAGAACTCAGCCTCCCTCTGCAGACGCCCACGCTCAGGGAAGTGGTCTGGAAGAACCAGCTGCTGGTCCCGCATGTAGTCCAGGATGTATCGGAACAGGAAGCCGTCACGGTCCACAAAGAAGCGACCCTTGGTGTCCCTGGCCAATCCTTTGGCTGACTTCCGACTGAACATCTCCCACAGCAGGGACTCAGGCACACTTGTGAGAGTAGAATAGCGGGTTATGTACACCTGGCCACCAACATTGAGCTCTATAATCTCTGGGAAGGGTACCTCCTCCCCAGACATGCCACTATCTGGTAAAGCCATGGCTTACTCCTGCCTCACAGGTGCACTTCGATGCAGCTTGAAAAACTCTCTTGGTTAGAGAGAAAGTTGAAATTACAGGACTTGGAAAAATGATTTTTCCGTGAAACCTTTCACAGAGGTTGCTGAGGCCTGTTGCCTTTGAAAGATTGCAGGTCCTGCTGAGCTGGATCGCCTGTGGTCACGGAGCGGCTAAACACACAATTGGTGCGCGCAATAAAAGCTGGCCGCCACTCTCGCATCAAAGCCGGCAGAAACAAAACAGTCACACATACACACCCTCTATTCTAACTACAGATTTCCCCATAATTACTAAAACATAGCGCGGTGTATTTCAGGCAGCGTTGCATGAAAACGTTCTGTCCACGTCCTTTTACGCGCAAATAGATCCTGAGATTGAATCTCTGCTTTTGACACCAGTTCTCTGAGCAGGAAATGCACGAGTTGCACAACTGTCCACAACGACTTAGCTTGCTCTAATGTTGGCCGGTTGTCAAAGCGCAAACAGGATCAGGTGGCCCAACTTCAATTAAACAATCCATAGTTGGTGAAATCAGTGGGTGTCCCGCAGACGTACATCCACGAGACAAGGAGGACGATACCGGTGTGGTGAGAGACGAGGTAGATGTCTGAAAATGTCTCGGTCTTTTCCATCACTTGCGGTTCAAATCAGCGGTCAGCTGTTACGTCCCACAGCTCCTCTGTCAGTGTAAGGACTGTAACTCTGCTGCATCGTAACGGAGGATTCAGCATTAATCACCCCGGTTAGCCACGCCCACCCGCGGTGACGCACCTCTGCTGTGATCCAGGTCAAAACTGTCTGCCCCGCGAGAGCGCTGTCAATGGGCAGCTCCTTTACTGTATCTGCTCAAAGGGTGCATGGGTAAATACATTTTCCCTGAAAGTTTTATTGAAGTAGATGCACCACATGAATACACAAGAGCAGCATTTGTGGGAGTTTTTCCCTCTATTTATTTTATTCATGGGCTATGCTTCATAAATACCTAGGTTTCATAAAAACCTGTGGTCCCAACGCATTGTTTTTGTCAGTGTGCTCACCTGATTACATAAATAGTGAACTAAGAACAAAATAATGATACCGACCAAGTCTCATTAAAATCCAGCCACTGACTTAGAAATGGGTATGCATTTAATTTTGATGCATTTATTTTTGGAAACAATCTCGGTGATCAGTGCAGTCAGTGTCTCTTAGAAGGATGGGACAACAGTGACACCTAGTGAATACTCGAGGGGAAATGTTTTTCTCCCAAAGAACATCACTAACTACTTAGTTAAGAGTTAGTTAAGTATTAGTATTCTAGGTTAGTTAGTGTTGTAGTTACTCCCGAACTCAAAATATGTATTGTTACTTCACTTGGATATTTGACCTTCGCATTCATCTGAAGAAGGGCATAGTTCCTCTGTGCTCCCCTTTAAATCTGACTTTAACATCTGAAGGGGAGATTTTTGTCAAAATTTTTGACATTTCTGTCTGCATCTAGGAACTTTTTAAGGCAGTGCATTCAAAATGCGACAGAAACTAGCTACATGTGTCTACTATTAAATGGTTTTACCTCTGCAACACAGACCAAAAAAATGCATGTATTAGTCATGTACTAGTACATAGTCTGGTTTAGTTGTAACATACCCTTAGGTGAAATATAACATTAATAAGGAATATGAGAAAACATGATATGAAAGCTTTTTATTCAGCACTTAAATGTTTAAATAAAATTTTTGTTGCTGTCAGTCATAGTAGTGAATATAAGACACTTATTTGGATACACCTCAAGAGTGCAGGCCCACAGTGAAGCCTATAGGTCTTAGCCTAACATTTTTAACATAATAATAAAACACTTGTCCCACACACACACACACACACACACACACACACACACACACACACACACAGCATTTAGCAATGCTAAATAAAAAATAAATGAAGTTTAAAAAAATCTGTCTTACCTCAAAATTATTTTTTTCCTTCAAAAATTGTCTGTGCCTGCCACAGGATGCTAATTTTCCCATGTGGAATAAGGACTAAACTAAGCATGGGTGAATCAGGTGATTCGTAACTTGTTCCTGATTGGAGAAATTCAATGTGTTACAACTGACCGGTGTTATAACCATCTCCGCTCTCCACCTACATTCAAGCATGATTTTGTGACATCACAAGTGGCTTGAAAGCCAGTCACGGTCCAGGATGCTACTTACACAGGTGTGATGTGGAAACTCGAAGCCTCCAGCAGTGCTTCAGTGAAGTAGGAGACACCAGCAGTTTTTAAACTCCTGAAATGAAGAATTCATAGATTTAAGATTTTCTAACTAGTTGATTGAATTTCTCTCTGCGGAAAAACCATATCAGATACAAAAGATTACTCAAAGCAAGAGTATTTTTACGCTATATGTATTTTTAGGCTATAAACATGTCTGTAGGGGGGGTCTAAGTATTCTAATAATGGAAGCATTCAGCTATATTTTAACTCCCACACCCAACTTTCAGTTAACATTTATAAGCACTATATGAACAAATAAATAGTTTATAACAATAGTTGTACGCAGATATAAGCGCATTTTTTTCCCAACAACTATAATTCCTCTTGTGGGCACCTGGTTGACGACAACATAGTAAATGAAGATGCAATAATATAAAAGATGTCTTCAAAGGAAACGTTAGAATAGCTTTTTCCAGAGCTTTCAACCGTATCACACAGTCTTCATCAGAGGATGATTTTGGCATCTTGTTTATTTCATATTTATAAATGTTTATATATGCAGTTTGTCAAAACAATCACAATTCAAGATCCACTTAGTAGCTTTTGGAAATACCTTTTCAGATTGAGGTACATCAAATGAATTGCACCAATATGGAAGCATGGGTGAGTCACAGAGACCTGCGTAGTCAACAGGCTGCCTGCTATGTATGCCTTGTGTTTCTCTCTTTTCCTCTCTCGCCATGTGTGGTCCACACACAGTCCTTTCTCTGACAAATCAGCAGGCCAATTTTGCCTGTCTCTAAGCATTTTGGCACTGATTTCCCTGAGGGCCTCGCAGTCTCCAGCTGGCTTGCAGCACTAGAGCCTTGCTGTCGGAAATCTGGATTGGACCGCTCTGATTATGGTCCACCACGGGATCCGGAGGTAATATGGCAGCGCTGTCTGCCAATGAGGCGAGTTGATGACACAGTCCCAGCTGCATTTGCCGTTCCCTTCACTGAAATATGCAAAAGCAATATGCTGTCTAACACCAGAATCCTGCGCAGTCCAAACCAAAATATCCACAAATAATATGCTCTGATGCAAAACCATACTGATATATTTTGGGATTATTGTCAACTATAAACACATGCCAGTGATTGAACATAATTAAATTACTGAAATGTGTGTGAATGATCACCTTTTCACTCACTGACTCTAAAATCCTTGCACAGCACCATGTGACCCTGGGTTTTTACTGGCAATTTCATCATTCTAATCAAATCCAAACCATAGCCCATTGATCCTCAGAAATATGGGCAAAGTGATACATCAAATAAATGAGTTTGGCCTTCTGCAACAGCTGGATTATCTGTATATGTCTGTCAATTCTCATCACAGTGATGGCCTTCAGAGGCTGTGTGTGTGTGTGTGTGCGTGCGCACGCTGATTCAAAATAGGCAGAGAAGAGACTTCCATCCCGTGGGAGAGAGATAGTTATTCAGCATACTCACACAGGAAATCGGAAAATGTCCTTAACAGCTACTACTGTTGCAAAATCTGCATGTATTCAGAGAAAAACAACCAGACATGCTACTATTGCTGAATTCTTGGGCCATGCAGTGAGAAAGACGGGTTACTTAGGGAGGGTTTTATGGATACGTCTGCATATTGATCTCTGCACTTTCAGCGGTTTCTGCTGACAGCTGCACCAGTAAGTGATTTATGAGATATTCTGTGGGATCAACCAAAATGAACATGCCGCTGCACTTATTTTCTCAGGTGTTTGCGGTGCCCACGTGAACCCACCGGCTCAGCCTCATTTCCCCCAGTGAGACATCGTGCATCTTTCAAGAGAGACATGGAAGTGAAAGAAGACACACTGCACCACATCTCAAGACAAGAGTCTCACTGAGACGATGTCACAGAAGAGGGTTTCCACCTGTCCCCTGGACATTATTCAATTCAAGTTTTTATTCAGAATCATGGACAGCCTGGGTACCTAATTGCTCTTAATCATCAATAGCTCACTGTCATCTGGTTGTGTTCCGGATTATTTTAAATGTGCTTGTGTTACTAAAAAAACCCGGCCTTGATCCCTCTAATCTTGAACACTATCGCCCAATCTCAAAACTGCCCTTCATTTCCAGGTGTCTGGAAAAAATTGTTTCTAAGCAGCTACTTGATGTAATGAACAAAAATTCCAATCTGGTTTCCGCCCACACCATAGCACAGAGACTGCTCTTCAAAAGTTACCAATAACCTGGTATTGAAAGCTGACGTGTTAAATTCTGGTGCTGTTAGACTGCTTTTGACATAATTGACCATGGTATCTTGTTAGATGGACTGAGGTGCCCGGAACAGGAAGTTCTGTGTGTCTGTAACTTTAAATCTGCCTTTTCTCCTGTTGATTACGGTGTGCCCCAAGGATCAATCTTCGGACCTATTTTGTTTTCCATCTACATGCTCTCCCTGGGTGACATGATCCGCCGATACGGTATTCCCTTCCATTGCTATGCGGAGAATACTCCGTTGTACCACCTGGTGAAGCCTACTGACCTCAGTGTGCTGCGTTCCCTCCAGGCCTGCCTGGCTGACATAAAAGACTGGATGTCAATAAACTTTCTACAACTTAATACCAACAAACATCCTGGTAATACCAACAGAAATCCTCGTAATTGGACCCCAGCACATTACTAAACATATTATCACTTGTCTACACACTTTACGCCTGTTGCCAGAAATCTTTGTGTCCTTTTTGATAGTAGGCTAATCGTTGCTTCGAACAACACATCGCTAAGGTTGTCAAGTCATGCTTCTATCACCGTAGAAACATTGTTAATATAAAACCCATCTTAAATGCCAGAGATGCAGAAACGGTTATATGGGTAATTTTAAACTCTTTAAATTGGCTACCTGTCTGTTTTAGGATTGATTTTAAGTTCTTATTGATTACTTCTAAAGCTCTTAATGGCCTGGCACCAGAATACAGCCTTGACCTTTTAACCCCTTACGATCCTATGTGCAGCCTGAGATCCTCTAGCAGGGGTCTTCTGTGCATCCCTGAGTTCAGGCTGAAAACACGTGGAGATAGAGCCTTTGCAGTAAGGGCCCCAAGGCTGTGGAATGACCTGATGACATCAGGATGTCGGAGTCAGTGTCTTGTTTTTTACAGGAAGTATTTCTGATTTCTGATTCTTTTAAGTCTGAAAAATTATTTATTCCAGAAAGTGTTTTCTGATTCTGATATTTTTTTGAATTTCATGTTAATTTGTGCATGTTGTGTCATATTTTATTGGTGTCTTTTTAACTGTTATGATTTTAATGTTTTTATCTTTCTGTGAAAGCATTTGATAAGTGCTCTACAAATAAAGTTTATTATTATTATTATACCTAAGAGTCAAATGCCCCACGGGTCTCTGTGCTGAGGAAAAAGATGCAGTTGTTCATTCAAGTGAGGGTCAACGGCAGTCACTCTGACAGATGTACAACACAATAATCAAATTAAAGTGGACATTCAACCAGGAAGGACGCCGCTTCTCGGCAGCCTACACACACCCGT